TTGTGTCTTCTGGGATTTAAATCCCAGTGCCTTAATGAGAAGCCAGGGGATTTGAGTCTTAGTCTTGGTTCTTGCTATAGCCTTGACCTTGAGCAAGCACCTTAATTTCTCTGGGTTTTGATTTTGACTAAGTGATTTCTATTGGTTTCTTCTAGCTCAAAACACTAGGAAGATGACCATTTGCAATCACCTAAGATAATAGGCATATGTACTTATCTTAGGTGCGCGTATGATTTGTAAAGAGCATTTTGTCCATTCAACTGAATTTCAATACAAGTTCACTACTGGCTATAGCATCACTATAGTGTGCCTATAATGTGCTCATTGCTATGGAGAAAGTATAAGATTTAGACTTCATCCTAAATGGTTGGACAGCCTGATTTGTAGACATATGTATGAATGAGTGAAATTTATTGAGTAACAAGCATGTGCTAAGCCTTATGCTAGGTACTAGAAACATCAAAATTTAGATCTTGTGCTTGAATTGTTCATGGTTTCATAGAGATGGATTGAAATGCAGATAGTTAGGTTATAGTTTGATCTCTGTGGTAATAGATAAACTCAGTACAGAAGAGAGGGACCTGTTATTTACTTATTTTTCTCTTAAAACTAGGGATTGAACCCAGGTCTTTTACTTGCTAGGCAAGCACTCTAACGCTGATCTATATCCCTGACCTGGGAGTGGTTAGTCCTAAAGAGGGCTAGGGAATGGCCTTGAAGGAGTTAACATCCAAATTGGTGAAATGTGTGTGGTGAGTGGATGGAGTGTAAGCAGGAAAAAATTTCAGGCAATGGAACTAGTAAAGACGTAAAGATTAAAGCAGCATATTATGCCCTGGGCCTGTAAATAATTTGGTAAATTGAGATGTGAAGTGTGGAGGGTGGATAGAGTTGAGAATTAAGTCAAAGATAGCTGATCTATTTGCCATGCTTAAGAATTTAGGTTTTTGGACTGGGGTTGTGGCTCAGTTGTAGAGCGCTTGCCTAGCATGTGTGAGGCACTGGGTTCCATCTCCAGCACCGCATAAAAATAAATAAATAAAATAAAGGTATTGTGTCCATCTACAACTAAAAAAAAAATAAAGAGTGAACTTGGGAACTTAGGTTTCGCTTTTAAGAACAAAAGAAGTGCAGCCATTAAGATTTTTTTTTTGGTGATACTGGGTATTGAACTCAGGGGCATGCGACCACTGAGCCACATTCCCAGACCTATTTTGTATATTATTTAGAGATAGGGTCTCACTGAGTTGTTTAACTCCTCGCCATTGCTTGAGGCTGGCTTTGAATTTTCGATCCTCTTGCTTCAGCCTCCCAAGCTGCTGGAATTACAGGTGTGCGCCACTGAGGCCAGCTTTATTAATATGTTTTAATAGTGGAGCATGCGTAGTAAGCTTTTTTGAAACATTTGCACATAACATATATGCCTTAAAGTGCACAAAGCAGAAGTCTGCAGCTCAATGAATTATCACTAAATGAGCATACCCATGTTGTAACAGTTTTTTCTATTCAAGATGTAATATATTTTAGAAACTTGCCTTAAACTCTCTACCAATCATAATTCCCTGTCTTCTCTAAAAGTAACCACTATGTTCTAACCATTGACCACATCTTAACTTCATGGATTTATTTGCCTGTTTTTTTTTTTTTTTT